CTTAAATTACAACATACCTCTTCTAAGTTATGATATATTGTGATTGGATCCTAGCCTTAATATTACATTTGGGTGTTTTATTAAGAGTATCTTTATATCTAAACTAAACTTGATCTCTTCTTTTCAGATGTCTTCCAACAACACTGCTTCTGGCTCAAATCCTACGGGCTCCTTTTCCCTCATGAAGCTATATGGGAGGGTCATCTTTGATGGTTCCAACTTTATGGATTGGATCCGGAACATCAGGATGGTCACACGCTATGAGGACAAGGAATATGTCCTCGATAAGGAGTTAAAGGATATTGATGAGTCAACTGCTACTCCTGAGGAGATCACTGAATTCCGGACTCATGAGAGAGATGCCACGAAAGTGGCTTGTATCATGATGGCCACGATGACAACGGAGCTCCAAAAGTCCTATGAGGACTACTACCCTTTTGAAATGCACCAAGATTTGATGGAAATATACGATCAAAGTGCTCGTCAAGAGAGGTATGACATCATCTACTCCATGATACCAACCCGTATGAAGGATGGTGAACCCATCACGGGCCACATGCAAAAAATGCAAAGGTATGTGGAGCATTTTCTGAAGCTTAATGTGAACTTTCCAGAGGAGCTTGCAATAGATATCATTTTGCAATCCTTACCCTCGTGTTATGATCAATTCCGCATGACATAACACATGAATAAGGAAGAAGTCACACTCAACAAACTTCAAGGAATCTTGAAGACCGTCGAAAGTGGTTTAAAGGGTAATTCGGTTGTTAACACTCCTACTCTAACTCCAAACTCCGCCCCTGTCTTGGCAATCGGGAAAGGCAGAGGGAAGAAGAAGAAGAACTCTTCAAAGGGTACCAAGGGTAAGACCCTTGATGGCTCCTCTTCAAGTGGAACCAAGAAAGGTTTTGTCACTCCTTCTTCTAACCCAAAAGAGGCTGAACGCTTCTATTGCCATGAGAAGTCTCATTGGAAGCAGAACTACCCAAAGTACCAGCAAGATGTGAAGGATGGGAAAGTGAAACCCAGCCATGCAGGTATTTACACTATTCTTTCTAGTAACTCACCCTATTTTAACTCTTGGGTCCTTGATACCGGTTGTGGTATTCATAAATGTTCTGATTTGCATGGACTAAGAAGAAGTGATAATGTGGAGAATGGAAAGATAAAATTGATCATGGGGAATAGGAAAGCTTCACCTGTCACCAGGTTTGGAGTTTATTCTTTGTTGCTAAGTAGTGGGTTTACTTTATATTTGAATAAATGTTGTTATTCGCCATAAATGGATAGAAATATTATTTCCTTTCATGCTTTGTATAAACAAGGGTTTACCTTTTCTTTTGATAATGCAAATGGTGGAATAAATGCTTTCTTTAATAATGTTCTTTGTTTTAAAGCATTACCTTGTGATGGTGTGTATGAAGCTGTATCTGTTGTAGATAATCTAGGAAATAATGTGTTGTGTATTGATTCTTAGAGTAATAATAACTTGGATAAAAGATCATTATGGTATTGTCGTCTTGTACATGTGAGCAAGAAATGAATAGGCCAACTCCAAAAGGATGGAGTCTTGGAGTCATTTGACGTAAATTCAGATGATAGTTGTGAATCATGCTTACTTGGAAAAATGACAAAGTCACCCTTCATTGGTTCTTGTGAAAGCGGTGAAGGTTTGTTGGATCTCATACACACGGATGTGTGTGGACCCTTCAAATCTTCCACAAGGGATGCTAATCGCTATTATTTGATTTTTACTGATGATTATAGTAGACATGGATATGTCTACTTAATCAAGCATAAGTCAGAGACTTTCGAGAGGTTTAAAGAGTTTAAACAGGAAGTCGAGAATCAATTGCGCAGGAACATTAAGATGCTTCGATCCGATCGTGGTGGTGAGTATCTTAGCATATAGTTCCTCGACTATCTTAAGGAATGTGGGATTATCTCACAATTGACACCTCCTAGGACACCGCAGCTGAATGGTGTGGCTGCGAGGCACAATCGAACCTTGTTGGATATGGTTCATTCCATGATGAGTCGAGCTTCGCTTCTAATCTCATTTTGGGGGTATGCCTTAGAGACTGCCACCCATATCCTTAATCTGGTCCCTACAAAGAAAGTTGCCAAAACTCCTCATGAGATGTGGACTGGTAAAGTTCCCAAAATAGATCACATCAAGATTTGGGGTTGTGAGGCTTTCATGAGATGCGAGACTCATGATAAGCTTGAACCTGGAAGTGAGAGGTGTATTTTCATCGGATACCCACAGAAATCATTTAGTTACCTCTTCTACAAACCTAGTGACAATGTGGTGTTTGTATCAAGGAGGGGTGTCTTGAGAGAGAGAGAGAGAGGGAGAGAGAAAGGGAGAGAGAGAGAGAGAGATAGAGTTTATAAGCCAAGGAAATAGTGGGAGGCAAATTGACCTTGAAGAAATTCAAGAGTCAAGTGAGGAAGGAACTTCAAACCCTAGCACTCAACCTGAGGAGGAAACTCCTATTGAGCCAATTGACAAGTATAAACCTCTGAGGCGTTCCATAAGGGTTAGGAATACACCTGAGCATTATTATGGTTTCCATATTACTGTGGAAGGTGAGACATTTATCAGTGATGAGACATTGCTAAGTTTGGATGAACCTAACAGTTACTCGAAATCCATGGCAGGCCCCGAGTCAACCAAATAGAAAGAGGCAACGGACAGCGAGATACAGTCCATGTACGACAATCAAGTTTGGAACTTTGTTGACAATGTACCAGGTCGTAAGACAGTTGGGTACAAATGGATCTTCAAGAAGAAGACCGACATGTATGGTAATGTACACACATATAAGGAACCACTGGTTGCAAAAGGCTTTTCACAAACTCCAGGAGTTGATTATGATGAGACCTTTTCACCAGTTGCAAAGATTGAGTCCATTAGAGTATTGTTAGCCATTGTTGCATTTCATGATTATGAAATATGGCAAATGGATGTCAAAACTGCCTTCCTTAATGGAAGTTTGGCTGAAGATGTTTATATGAGTCAACCAGAGGGTTTTGTCAGTCCAGAATACCCTAATAGAGTGTGTAAGCTCGAGAAATCCATTTATGGATTGAAACAGCAACCTCGCAGATGCAATCTTTGTTTTGATGAGAAAGTCAAGGAATTTGGCTTTTCAAGGAGTGAAGATGAATCTTGTGTCTATGTCAAGGCTAGTGGGAGTATAGTCAGCTTTTTGGTACTGTATGTGGATGACATACTACTTATAGGAAATGACATCCCAACCCTATAGGAAGTGAAGTCCTGGCGTGGGAAGTGTTTCTGTATGAAAGACCTAGGAGAAGCTGCCTATATTCTGGGGATAAGGATTCTGAGAGACCGGAGTAAAAGACTAATTGGACTTAGTTAGAGTACTTACTTGGAAAAGGTGCTGAAGAAGTTCAGCATGCAGGACTCTAAGAAAGGAGAGTTACCCATCCAGTGTAACACCAGACTGAGCAATACTCGGAGCCCGAGTACTGAGGCTGAGATAGCAGAAATGACTCCAGTACCTTATGCTTCGGCAGTGGGCTCGATCATGTATGCTATGACTTGTACTCGTCTTGATGTGGCCTTTTCCTTGAGCATTGTTAGCAGATATCACGGGAAACCTAGCAAGGCTCACTGGAGTGTGGTAAAGAATATCCTCAAGTACCTACGAAGGACTAAGGACTGGGTCCTTACCCTCGGTGGGAGTGATGACTTGAGAGTTTTAGGGTATAGTGATGCTAGCTTCCAGACTGATAAGGATAATTTCCTCTCTCATTCAGGCTGGGTCTTTATCTTAAACGAAGGAGCGGTTACTTGGAAGAGTTCCAAGCAGGAGACAGTAGCTGATTAAACTTGCGAATCAGAGTATATAGCAACAAGCGAGGCAGGAAAGGAGGCTATATGGCTGAAGAACTTCATTGGAGACCTTGGAGTTGTACCAACTATAAAGGAGCCAATGGAAATTTTATGTGATAGTGAAAGTGGAGTTCCCTTAGCTAAGGAACCAAGAGATCATGGGAGATCCAGACACATTGACAGAAAATACCATTCATCAGACATCGAATAGAAGAAGGACTCCTCGTAGCAAAGTAGGTATCATCGGATGAGAACCCAGCAGATCCCCTCACGAAGGGACTGAGTCGGGTTAAGAATCACCAGCATGCTCGTAACATAGGGCTGAAGGATGATATTAGTTTTAGTAGTTAGATAATTTTGAATTTTGTAAAGTGTAATTGACATTTGATGATGAATAAAAGTTGTGTTTATTTATGAATAAAGTGTTACTATCTCTTGTCAATCGTTTACTATATTTCTTTTGCATCTTTTGACTTCCAGAATAATTATGGTTGGTATATCATATTATTCGAATCTCCACAGTTGGTCATATGTTGGAAGTAGGTATCAATCAAGACTGTCATGAGATGGTTGCAGAGGTCTAAGTTGTTGGACGTGGCTACAACACGCATGACTGCTCATAAGTTCTGAGGATTGGACTCAACCCACTCTCACTGGTATCACTTAATGGAATTTATCTCGAGTGATCGTGAGACGGTAATATCATATAAGTCTTCAAACCTAGAGATATCACTTGTTGCCTATGATTTGGTTATGCATTGATCGTACGAGAATGCATTGGTAACTCGATGTTATAAAACGTACTTTTGTGTGTGATTTAACAAGTAGTAGAACAAGCATATAAGTCGAAGTTTATCTGTTCCTTCTAGGATTAGAAGCGATATCTGAGCACCTCGATGATTTTGTGTTGACCTATGTACCGGGCCCGGTCAGAACCATACACTTCAAGAGGAAAGTTTAGTATATGAATTTAAAGTCTAACATTCACCAAGATGTTGATTTTCTAAGTTTTGTTTGGATGGTCTTTGAGAGGGCCAAGAAAATTTACTATGTTCAATGTTCAAGGTATTTCTTAGAACCATACACTTCAAGAGGAAAGTTTAGTATATGAATTTAAAGTTACTTGTCCTGTATCTCAATAGCGCACAGCTTTTTCTTCTGGTACCACTTTACCTTTGGATATATATCTTGAGACAAATGTCCATGTGCTTCTCGATCCTGTCTTTGAAAGTGGAATAGCCAAGAATTTCAACAACAATCGCACAATAACATTGGTGAATGCATAAACTTCTCTGAACACACGGATCACCGATATGAGATGGTTGTTTTCAAAATCTACCAAGGGAGAGTGGCCAATTATGTCATCCAATTGATTCAGACTAGCTACAGACGTTCTAATGTCTCTTCTCGGTTTCTTTCTGAAGGCAGTGTTATTGTCGATGATGCTGTCGATGCTGGGACCACCATTTCTCCTTATATCACACCCAACATCCCTCACATGGTCTTTTGTCTGCAACATGAGATCAGATATATTGCTGAAAAGATCCAAGAAAATAACAGATACATCAAGTAACTCATCCGTCCATCTCATGTTCTGATTGCTGGAATCTAACGAAGTTTTGGAAGGACATGTTTTGACAAGTTCATCCAAACATTCATACAACTCCGTCTGTTGAAACACACCGCTGCAAATGATTTCTGCAGATGGATTCGATAACGATGATGTGGACTCCCATGTTTTGACTTTATTCAGCACTTTGTCGATTCTGTAGGTGCATGGATGTGATCTGCATGGCAAAGTAATGGATCGGATAACTTTGCACGATCGTTAGATGTGGAAGACATGTATAAAGCACATAGTGAAGTGATAAAGATATTATGCAATCTGGAGTTGATATATCCACCAGCATTTTTCGACATAATGGTTCATCTAATCCTACATTTACCAGAAGAAGCTATTCTTGGAGGGCCTGTATCTATGAGATGGATGTATCCTTTTGAAAGATACATGAAAAAGCTGAAATCTTATGTCAGAAACAAAGCCAAACCCGAAGGTTCAATAGCGGAAGGTTATATTGCAGATGAAGCATTGACATTTTGTTCCATGTATCTTGATGGTATACAAACAAAGTTCAATCGTCCCGATAGAAATACAGATGACGGCCTTCCAAAGATGCAATTTTCTGTGTTTTCATCACAATGTCGACCAATTTCCAAGATGAAAATCATTGCTCTTTCTGAAGAGGCCAGCAAATCATTACAATGGTTTGTACTCAACAACTGTGATGAACTTAAAGGCTACATATCGTAAGTAATTATTTATTTATACTTTATACTTAGGCATTGTGAGAAACTAATATGAACCATTTCTCCCACCTACAGCGAATTTGAATCTAAATATCCCGAAAAAGATGTAAAAACGAAATTTCCCTCATGGTTCAGTCATAAGGTAAAAACATTATATACATATATTACATATAAATCTAAAATATATTATCATTTAAAGTGTCAATATTATATTTTTCTCCAGGTTTATCGTCTACAAAAAAAATTGTCCCCAGACTGTACCAACGAATTAAAAGCTTTGGCACATGGTCCGTTGAATGCATATTCTTACACCGGTTGCATAGTCAATGGTGTTAGATATGTGGTACATAGTCGTGATCTCCGACGTACTACTCAGAATAGTGGTATTGTTTCATTTGGAGAAGACAGTACACCATTTTATGGTCAACTGGAGGATATCATACAATTAAACTATTTAAGTGATTATTCAGTTGTTCTGTTTCGTGGTAAATGGTTCAACACAATGGGGAGGGGACGATTAGTTAATGAAAATGGTATCATCTCTATCGACATCAGTCGTGAATGGTATGTTGGTAATTCATGGTATGATGGCCAACAATACATTTTAGCCACACAAGCAAAACAAGTGTTTTATCTTAAAGATCCTTCACGAAACGCCAATAGTTGGAGGGTTGTAGAAGACGTTCACCATAGAAAATTGTGGGATCATCCAAGTATGGATGTAGATGTCTTGCATGACAATCAATCATCTGATTATAACTTGGATGTTGACATAGGTGATTTTGGTGACACAAGTGTGGTTATTGAGAGATGTGATGCCCCTATTGTGGACCATCAATCCTTTCATTGTAACTTGGTTGCCGATTTAGGCTATTTGCCTATGCAAACTTTAGGTGAAGTTGGTGAATCAAGTGATGCTCCTATCATGGAGGATGAGAATTTCATTGATGATGATGAAGAACACAGTGATTGCTACCCTTCAGAAGATGAAATTGTTGATGACAATAATGATAATGATGATGAGTCTATAGATGCATATTATTCCAGTGATGATTATGATTAAATGTATTATAATGTTTTTGTATCTTTAATAGATTGTTGTTACATATTAAAATTCTTATTTATAATGTTTTGTTTAAATTATGTTTATTATTTATTTCAACAGAATGTCAGTACATGTTGCTAGAGGACACGGTGGAGACGGTGGGGGTGAACCTCCAAGACAGCCGCATACGATCCCCAGAGCTTGTGACTCATGTAAGTAACTTGTTCTAATTAAATATGTCTTATGTCTTTATATTCAATAACTTTTTAACTTACTAACTGTTTTATTACGTATATAAATGTAGCAAAACCAAAGAGAGGGTTTGGAAGAAATTTGAATTTGTATGAACGGTATAGACTTAACAAGAAGAAGCCACTTCCCTTGGAGTTTGACATCACGAGGAGACTATATAAGGTCGTTGGAGATAACTATCAAGTTTATATACGCTTGGTTTCGAATGAGGTTCAAAAGAATGTCCCCTTTCACTATCCGAGTTGGGATGATGTCCCTGAAGATTATAAAAGAAAAGTCTATCTCACCTTGCATGTAATTATAAAATTTAATGGTTTTATTAGTATTATAATTTTATATTTTTGAGATGTTTGATAACCCTTTCATTTTCTTTTGTAGAATTATTTTGATATAGATTCTTTTCGTGACACACCTCATTGGAATGGCATTGTGCAAGGAATTGATGCGGATTTCAAAGCAAGTTACAGACGCCGCAAGTCGAAAGTGAAAAAGCATTTTCTGAGCGTTGGAGGCTACAATGATGTGGAAACGGCAATGAAACACCCCCCACTTAGAATGAATATAAAAGCATGGAGCAAAGTTATTAAAAAGTTATTCATGAGTGAGAAGTATCAAAACCGTTCTGTAAAAAATAAAGATAACAAGGGAAAACAGGTGTATGGAAGTTCTCATGGTGCTGAATCCTATGCCCAAAAGCGACATAAGGAAGTAAGACTTTTTTTTAGTGTTATTTAAGGGTTTTGTCAACATTTTATATGAAATATTAGTAATAGTTTTTGTGGTTTTTTGTAGAAAAAAGAAACCGGAAGGGAAAACCACATTGATGGATGGAAAAAAAGTCACTTTAAGGAAGGAAAAGGATGGTGTCACCCACAGGCTCAACACGATTGGGTAAGTAAAATTGGTATTTACATACTTTTAGTACAATGTTATTTTGTGTAAATTATTCATATGGAATTTAGAGTAAATTGTTTATATTGTTATTTAAAATGGATTGCGTATATTACAAGTAGATTTATTCAAATTTTGGAATTGTTATTCTTATTATTTATATACTTTGAACAGGTTGGTTTTTTTCTTTTTATAATTGTTATGCTGCCAAATTTTAGAAAAAATAACTAATAAATGTTTATTGTAGGGTAAAATTATGGAAGAGTATAGGAAAATGTTGGACGAGGTTAATGGTGATGATTCATTGGTTGATCAGACAGAATGCCTCAAGCGTGCACTTGGAGAAAGAAGTGGTCATACAAGAGGTGTTGGAAGAAAAGTGAAGAATGTAGCACCATATTATGGTCCAAGTACATCAACCAATGCCCAAAACTTCAATGCATTTGCTCAAGAGTTGACTCAACAAATGAGTCAACAATTTACTGAACAGACGCATCAAATGTTCTTATCTCAAAATCCAAACGCCCAACCACCACAATTTCAATTTACTTTTGATCCTTCTCGACTACAAGTTCCAAACGGTCATGATGTCAATGAAGAAGATGAAGAAAGTCAAGGATATGAAAATGAAGATGATGAAATGGAAGAAGGTGATCAAAATGAAGAATGGGAAAGTAGTTCTAGTGGACCTGATAATTAGGTTGTTTGTTTTAGGTTGGTTTGTATGAAAACATCTAAAAAAATCATATTTAGCTCTTCATTTTTGGTAAACCAAGCATATTTTTGAAGTTTGGATGGTATCATATTTTGGAATGATTTAGATTTAAATTAACTGTTTTTGGTTTTATTTTATATGAAAATTTTATTGTATAGAAATTTGGAAATATAAACAAGGAGGTAAAAAATTTGTAAAACCTATGGAACAGCTATAGAGGCGACTTATCGTTGCTATAGGTGTGCTTACAACAACAAGATTTCGTCGCTATAGATCAGGATATGGCAACAATATGTCGTGGCAATATGGGTCACTATGGCGACTATTTATCGTGTCTATTGGTTGCTATATAGGAACGATCTGTCGTCGCTATAAGGGGGGCTACAGCGACGAACACTATGGCAACGACATAACAACCTAAAGCAACGAACCTACAGCAACAAACTCTATGGCGACGACAAGTCGTCGCTGAGATCTATAGCGACGACTTTCTGGTCTGTAGAGACGATTTTTGTCGTCCCCATAGGTTAGAAATGTTGTAGTGGAAGGACATGTTTTGACAAGGTCATCCAAACATTCATACAACTCCGTCAGTTGAAACACGCCGCTGCAAATGATTTCTGCAGATGGATTCGATAACGATGATGTGGACTCCCATGTTTTGACTTTATTCAGCACTTTCTCGATTCTGTAGGTGCATGGATGTGATCTGCATGGCAAAGTAATGGATCGGATAACTTTCCTGGATGATGGTTTTCGAGAAAACCCCATTTGATTGTTTGGTAGTAATCTTTTTGAAGAGGGGAAATACAATTTTTAGTGATACCAACTACCAGCCTTACTCTTTGGAATTTATACGAAGTTAAAAGCCCCATAATGATGGAATGAAAGCACTCCGCATATCATGCACTTGAATGGAAAATAATTTAGGTGCATCAAATTGTGGGACAACAGACGTGGAGCCATTGCTATCTCTCGGTTTTCACCTCCTTGCAATTTCTCGGTGATACGTGGCAAACCACTATTTCTTTTATTTGAATCAGAACCAGGTGGATGATGCCTGTGAGATGACACAGTTTAATGTATCTTGGGAAAATGCGAAATATGGATATCCATGTGAGAGCTAATTAAGATTGAATGAAAGCACATTTCAGATCTCGAACAAAAAGAAACAAGAACGCTGAACGTGATTGTTTTCTATGAGAAAAACTAACGAGCATGGAGTGGAAAGTATGGGCATCAATAAACTTTGAATATTGTAGAGATTGCAAAAATTCTACGCACCATGTTTACCGGAAGGGGTTACATGGAGTGACGATGAGAATCCACTAAATGGTGTTCCAGCTATGGTTTTGTTTCCATGAACTTATCTGTTGCATTA